ACAAAGATATGCATAACGTTTAAAAATATTAAAAGCTGAACATGTTGTGTAAAAAGTTTAAAGTTAGCGAGGAAAACCTCGGATGAGAATCAAAACAGTGCAACGCCATCACACATTTTTAGCAATCTGTGAGATCAGTGGAGGAAAAGCAATGAGGGGAAACTTGACTTGGAAAACAAAAATAATGAGGGAAGCTGAGAGACAGCCAGTCTCCTTGTTGGGTATTTGGACCACCAGAGCTGCTGTCATTCAAGAAAGAATAAGCCAATCACTGTACTACAGCTGGTCAACAAATACTCCTGTGGTCTGCTCTGTCTCACACACAAACACACATCATCTCTGCCATGTAAACAAGGCACACATGCATGTTGGCATGCTTGCGCCCATACACACGTCCTGGCATTCATACACAGCCATTATCTACTTGTTCAGCAGCTCTCCCTTCTTCGTACACCTCAGTCACTTACTTATTCTCCCTGGCTGCATGTTTTCATTTCCTGAATGTGCATCTGTCATTTCTGTCTCTGTGTGTTTGTGTGTTTCTCGTTTGACAGCCAGAGATAGGCCTTTCCAGAGAAAAGATCTCCAGATACTGAGAAACAACAAGTGGAAGCTATTTTCTGGGGCTTGCTTGTTGCTGCTGGACCCGCTTTTAGAGCAGCCCAGAGTCGGTGCCATTGTGTGTGTGTGTGTGTGTGTGCATTTGTATGTGTGTTCCTTCCTAACAGAGGCAGGGGAAATCAGTCCAGCCTGGTCTGGTCTTTTGTTTTTATCGACAAGTGTACAGGACAAAACAGAAGGGCCATAGAGAAATTTGTGTTTCTGTGAAGCCCTGTGGGTGGTTTTGTTTGTGTGGGTACGTGCCAAAGAAAACAGGACAAACTGTAGTAATGCTAAATTTAAGTTATCAATCTTTAAACTGTAGAATATAGTAGAATAGAGTAATTTTCTGTTGTGTACTTGATTGTGTACGTGTGTGAATGCCTAAAACACAAGCTTATTGTATTGAAAAATAGCAAGTACATTGCTTTTAGTAAAGCCACTGATGATCAGAATCAGAATCAGGATCAGAATTTTGTTTATTGCCAAGTAGGTTTTTAGGCCTACGAGGAATGTGACCTGGTGCAGTTGGTGCATAAAATATACACATATACAAATACAAATACAAATATACAATTATTCAAATCACACAAAAATAAAGTACTTTCAAAAAATAAATAGATAAAGATAAGAAGAGAAAAAGAAAGCTGTGCAGACTGCAGCTTTTTCACTTCACTTGTGCACTTACTTGGCACAAGTGATATGTACTATACATTAAACAAGCTTACATGCCTTTACCACCAAAGCAGCTCGTAGTAAAGGCAGCAAGGGACATGATTATAATACCCTGGTGATAAACCATTTCTACAGAATGATTATTCTTTGTGCCAATACCTAGGAAAGTGAGATAAGTGTCCAAATATACTCATACATTTTCTTCCTGTTCCTCTCCAACAGGTCCAGAAAACCCGTGGCTGGTCCAGGCCTATGTTCACGCTGCCAAACACCCCTTTGCCTCTGTGGTCGGCCAGGAGGTCTTTCAGAGTGGCATCATACCCTCTGACACTGACTTCCGCATCTACAGGGACTTTGGTAACATCCCAGGTAATGCTGAACAATCTTCAGAGTAAAGTATAGAAATGGGTCATGAAAGTATGGCGCCTTTCTATGTCAGGGTTGAAAATAAAAATCCAGTGGCTGATCAATATACAAAGCAAAGATGGTTTTATTTAGTGTCTTTAAAAAAAAAAAAAGCTAATTCTGTGTATATGTGTATTTATTTTTTTACAGGAATTGATCTGGCTTTCATTGAAAACGGTTTCATCTACCATACCAAGTACGACACTGCAGACAGGATCCTGACAGACTCAATACAGAGAGCCGGTACGCAAATAAGCATGTGTACATACGTATTATATTTATTTTCTATATCTATTAATTTATTATTAATTTTTTATTTATTTAACACTCATTGCAAATAAATTCAGCACACGTTAGTTGGTGGGTGTGTCTGTCTGTCTTACAAGGTGAAAGCGGTCACTGCAGTAGTAGATCCGTGTTGTAAAAACCGCTGCCAACACCGTTTTTCTGTCACAAGCGCATGGTGTCTTTGTACTTTATCCCCCGGTTGCAGACTGGTCAGCACTCTGCTGATCTCATTATTTTCCTGAGAACTAAGAAATGCATACATGCATAGCAGCCACAGACATTTACTGTTGCACTTGCCCTCATTTACCTTGTGCATCTGTGTTGCTGAATTATTTTGCTTTGCTTAGCAGAGAATCCAGTCAGTCAGCACTAAAAACAGTTGGCATCTTTCCTCTCTCCCTCAGCAGCTACTGGACATCTCCCTCCTCTTCTTCTGTGTACAGTTACTCACAGTGTAAGGCATGAATTATTAGAGAGAGAAAGTGAGATTTCAGAGGGAGGAAGAAGGTATTTTTAGTCTGTAGAGAAGAACCGTTTTGTAAGGTGGAGAGTAGATACAGCACAGGGGCAGCGGATACAGATACACCAGTAGCTCTGCTCTGTTGATGCCTTCACTGATCTGCCTTTTGGACAAAGTGGGGAAAGGCGCAAGGCTAGCATGGCTCTAATGTGTAACGTTCTTTTTGTAAAGATTATGTAGATATATAAATAAGATACTGAGTATTACTCTTATTAATGTTACTGTGGAATATATTTAATGAATCCTATCTTTATTTTCGTTTTGTCATAGTGAAATTCAGAAAAGTGTGGGCAAATCACAAAGCAGTAACTAAGCGGGGAACCCAACAGGAACAAGTAGATATTGTACACTCAGTTGTTTACACTTTAAGGCCACAGCGAGCCTACCAGGCGGAAGAACAATGGAGCTTTGTCTGGTCTGTGTGTGTGTGTGCGTGCGCTGTTAACTGTGCAGACATGCAGGCAACAGTACATAGAGCAGCACAGATAAAAGAAACTTAGCCTCAGACAGCAGTAACCAACACGCCAAACCTCATTACTGATCCTTCACCAGATTTCAGTCAACCTACATTCAGCGTCATAATTGTAGCCAATTTCATGCAAATACTGCTCTTCATGATTTATATACTGCTATACGACTGTCACTATGAGAGGCTGTTAGATCATAAATCAGACTTGCCCTTGCACACATACACCACCATACTCTTTCACAAACACAATTACACACTCATCGTGGTGAATGTGTGACAGAATGGCATAGAGTAATTGTGTGTGGGTGACATTCTCTAACATATCCTGTCATGGGAAAGCTATAATGTGAGTACAAGAGTTCAGTTGTGTGTTTGAGACAAAAGTAGTGTATGTAGGAGAGTAGGATGACGAGTAGACATGTATTCTTGTATGTGTGGGACACCATAGTGTTGTGCACATTTGCACAATGAGGCCGTTGCTGTTAGAGCAAGTATAATCAACATCCTGAATTGTCTTCCATAATTTAAAATTAGTAGGTAGTGTAACTGGTGATTAAAGCAGAGATTGTAGGCTCAATACACAGTAACAGACTAGTATCCCATTTGTTTAATTATTTACATGGTGTTCATGTGCACACGGTTTATTGCTGCAGAAAATACTGTCTGGGTGGCCATGCAGGAATGACAAAGGCTACTATCACAGCGTAGTAACATGTCCTTGCTGGTCAGAAAGTTATACTGAGTCATAAATAAACTCTCTGCTGCATATGTCAGCTGTATTAAAGATGACCCTTTTTGTCATGTGATAGTGAAGTTATCACTTTCATATTCAGTCACATCAACCATTTCCTTTGTCTGATTGTGGATGTAGAATTACAAAGAGTGGAAACCAAAAACCACACTCTCGCTAGATTGCCCATGAATTCATAGTCTTCTACCATATGGCTGTCCTCCTGTCATACTATTTACTCTGTACTGCACAGATCATTGCAGTCAAATGCAACAGAACTTTACTGTGTTCCGTGTCAGTTTTCAACCTCTTCACCTTAAAATCACTTTCTGTTTTCAGGCGACAACATCCTGGCGGTCTTGAAGTACCTGTTAAAGTCAGAGAAGTTGGCAGATTCCTCAGAGTATCGTCATGGCAACATGGTATTTTTTGACCTGTTAGGGGTAGTTGTGGTGGCTTACCCAGCCCGTGTTGGCACCATCCTCAACTACATGGTCGCCACAGCCACCTTCCTTTATCTGGCCAAGAAGGCCTCTCTGCCAGGCAATGGAGGTAGGTCACCATTTCCTTTGGTGGATGCATGTTATGTCATTTCCTGTTATGGGTGTGTGTTGCGTTGTTTTCCTTTTTGTGGTTTATTCAAGTGTCTTTCTTGCAAAAGATAATATCAGACTTGAAAAATTGAACAGTCCCAATTTGTGGGGTCAAATCTAGATTGTTAAACTCATTTAATCTTTCTGTAGAAGAGTTGGATGAGCTGTTTTTTTTTTTTTTTGTCTCCATCTCTCTCAGGTGGTCGCTATGTTCGAGATCTGGCCTGCGCCACAGGTGTAGCAGTCATGAGCTGGATTGTCACGCTGCTGTCAGTGCTGATTGTAGCTCTGCTCGTCACTCTGCTCGGCCGCTCCATGTTTTGGTACAACCACTTCTACGCCTCCATCTGCCTGTATGGGACTGCTGCTACGGGAAAGATGATCCTCGTTCACACGCTGGCCAAGAACTTGTACTTCGGAGTAAGTGGAGTTTGGGGGTGTAGCTCAGCATTTTGGGAAATAACGTTTATTTGATTTCTTGCAATTAGCCTGTTACAAGGACTCCGAAGTTGCTGCTGCTTCTAGTCTTTATGCTAAGCTAATCTAACCATCTTCTAACTTGGGATTAGAGTTGAAGAAAGTTGACCAGCGTGACTTAGATTGATATCTTTTAACAGTACGTCTTGTTCCATGAAACATGTTTTTAAAAAAACATTTTTTTTTTACAGTGAGATCAAATTCTCATCAAACTCCTCTCTTCATTGCCTTTTTAGAAATATTGTTTCCTGTAGAGAGGAGGTCACATGATTCAGTCATCATGGGTCTAATGTCTCATGATGAGCTCACATTTAATGATGATCATGGTGATTACAGAACAGCAGTTTTTTTTGTATATGTGTGTGTGTGATTATGAAACTGTAGAGGTGTCAGAGCAACAGTCATCTTTCACCGAAGTATTGTCTGCTGCTGAGAGCCAGTTGACCTGTCTCACTGTGGTTTTTGAGGAGAGAGAGTATGTCGTATGTTTTTTCAGCTATCAAGTAGCATAGCCTATTCTTGCATATCCAGAGGCAGTGTTCGAGACTTTTCGGTACACTCTGTATATTTTTGGAGCAGCTATTTGCAGTTCATCTCACATATTGTATGTCTGACATTTATACACAGATTAAAACCATTAAAGAAAGTTTTATTTTTTTATTTGGAACTAACCACATTTTGAACTCCAGCTTTTCATGGCAGGTTTCCAAAAAGGACACAGACAAACCTTTCTCCCAGACCACATAAGGCGTCGTCTCCAATGTAACAAAGCCTCTTTTGAAAGAGCGGAATATATTTTTGTCCTCATTTTAAATGGTATTTTCTTTGACAAAAGAGTACATATGACTGGCAAGTTTCATTAAGAGCAGACAGAAATTATTAAAGGTCCAGTGTAACATTTAGGAACAGCTATTGGCAGAAATGGAAAATAATATTTGTTAGTTTACCTTAGAATGAGACATTTTTATCTGCAGAGGGAGCCTGTCCTCTTCTAGGGAGTCCAACCTGTTTCAACAATAGCCCAGAACGGACACAACAAACACTGGCTCTACAGGAAGCGTAACAACACATTATGCAATAACTCGATGGCATGAACGCAATACGTTACCCTGTGTTTTGTAATAAATGGTTTCTTACTGTGGTGGTTATTACAAAATATGTGAGCACTATGTAATAACCAACCAAAATGGATGTCTTCATCTGTACACGTTATATTTTAACAATTAACTGAACCCTGACCTGTGTTGCCCACTTAGCATTATAGTTGACCCTGATCTTAGTTTAAATAGCCACATTAAAGCATCATCCTACAAATACTGTCAAACTCAGGGACTTTATGTCTAATGCTGACCTGAGAAAACTCATTCACACATTCTACCAGGGTCGACTACTGCAATGGTCTTTAAGCTAAGTATTCCAAGTTTTTATCTGTTACTTTTAGCTTTAAAAAAAGCTTTATTAAATAATATATTCTTTTTTATTACATCAGCTACTCAACAATATTTCCACGTGCTCCCTGAAATTGCGAAAGAACTCGCTGGGGTACAAGTACCCCCTGGTTTGGGAGTCACTTTTGGGGTTTAATCAGAATGCAGTTAATCTTCACCTTCTGATAATCTATGTGTGGTTGTAGTCCAGTCAAGACCAGAATCTGCTGTACAAACACCACTGCAGGCACTGGGGATTTATTTGTGTGGCAACCTGTATGCTGATGTATAGTTTTGTTATGTTTGTGTGTGTCTGTGTGAGGTGTTTCTATATAACATCTGGCTGACAAATCATTCAAAATGCAATGTGAGGAAAGAGCTGGGTGAGTGCCTCTAAGTGAAGCTGTGATCTTGATGTTCATTTTAATCGAACAGTACGGCCTTGTGCACTCAGGGATGTTGTGCTCTGTAATAAGATATTTCAAGCCTCTCATTCTGTAATGTATGGTAAATCAGGTCAGTGAATTCTACATTAGTACAGGTTCTTTTCCAAGCCATTTTCATTGGTTTTGTTATCCTTTTTAGTTTACAGTATGAGTTTCAGGATACAACAGTGTGTGTGCCACTGTGAAAAAGTTCCTCTTGTGGGGACTGGGAAGTACCAAGTCATATAATTGATTATTTGTTCCTGTTTAGAGTTTATCCACAACAGTCACTAGTTAATGGTTGTCTTTTTATGCAGTGATACATAAAACGATGTATTTAATATTATTTGTGATTTGAATACACAGAGTAAAAGATTCTTTAAAAAATCAATATGTTCACATCTGGCAAAGACAATTTCCTCAGTTTATTCCCCATCGATCAAAGCAACATACAGCCAAAATAGAAATCCCACTGACGTGTCTGCATATTCCTTGTATATTGAGCTGTTGTGTGTGTGTTTTCCACGCAGGGTGTCCGGTTGGTGGAGCTGGGTGATCTCTTTTTTGACGTGAGCTTGTTGCTGTGGTGCTGCAGCCTGGTGTGGCTAACCCATCAGGGCCTGTGTTCAGCCTACGTGCCCATGCTAATGGTGGCCTTCCCCCTGGCCACCAAACTACTGCTGGCGAAAGAATTTAAACATAGAGGTAAACACACAGCCTCAACTCAACTTTAATTTCAATTAATGTTTATTTATAGGTACATTGAAAATACTAGACTAAAGTACTTCAAACTAGGTGACTGGAAGCCACTGTTAAATGATCTTATTGATGGCTTTTTTAGTTTTGGAAACTAGTGCTTGCTCAGTTTAAGAGCAGGAGTTAGGCAGCTAATAAGTAAACTAATGTTTGCTATTGCTAGCTCCCACTGTCCACTTGACCTGGGGTCTAACGACTTCTGAAAACCCATTGCCAACTACAAAGTGGACAGTTTTTTGTAACTTTAACGCCCACTTTATGCAATGGTTGTCCATCTGTGCAGAAATGTAAACATATGCAGTTTTTATCTTTTCTCAAGTTCTCTCACACAGCAACTTCTGTAACTTTTCGCATGTATCCTATTAGGGCTGCACAATTAATCAAATATTGTTAAGTGCAATATCTAAATCACAGAATAGGAAAAGGTAAAATGTGTGACAAAACAGCATTAAAATGAGGTACTGTAGTGCTGCAGAGATGTCCTGACCTACAGTTATCCAGATATGTTTGGTACAGACCCCAACAAATGTTACGCCATGATTTTAAGCGTTTCTTTTTTTTTTTCAGTAGAAGTGAAAAAAATTGCAAAAATTATCATTCCCACTAAGCGTGAATTAAATTGCAATCTGTCAAAATAATTGCAGTAGGATTGTTTTACCATGTCATGCAGCTGTGAGATGGAGGCAGGAGGAGGCTATGGTGGCAGGCTTTTCATCCACCTTCAAGTGTAGCCGTTTGGAATAGGTATCAACATTTCTGCCTTAAAGGACTTAGTGACATCTAGGTTGAAGTTGCAGATTTTAACTAAGTGAACACTGCTCACGTCAGTATTTGACAACCTGGGAATGAGAACGGGCTGTGTCGTCTGTAGGAGAAACTACGGTGACCCTCCATGGAGTCCACAATGGAAGGCGACCTGCGGCGTCCTTAGATAAAAACAGCTCATTCTAAAGTAACGAAAAAACAATGATTACAATATTCAGCCGATTATACACTAATGAAAACACACCTAGGAATATTATATCCCATTTTTGCCAATAGATCCACCTAAATGTTGTACTGGACCTTTTAAGATGAGTTGGATGACAACTTTCAAAAACTAGTTCTTTCCAAAAGATTCCAGCCTGACTGTCTGATCCTTGGCTGGTTCAGACTGACAAACAGTAACCTCTCTATCTTTCTGCAGGAGCATCGGTGAAGTACAGTGTGCTCTATCTGTTGGGCCTGGCGTTGCCGTATGTCCACTTCATGTTCCTCATCTGGGTGGTGTTTGAGATTTTCACACCCATCATGGGTCGCAGTGGCACAGAGATACCGCCTGAGGTGGTCCTGGCCTCCCTTGTCACTCTGGCAACCATCTTCCTCTCCTCCTTTTTTGTGAGTGTTCCAACATTATGTGCAACAGTTAACAAAAAAACTTGGGGATTTGATACAAAGCAGAATATACATGAGCAAACAGTTTTATTTTGGTCAAGCTTCTGGGAGCAATGTTTTGGTTGAGCACTTTTTGACAGTAGTTGTTTGACTTCAGATAAGCAAACCAACTGATAATAGAGTGGCAGTAAAATCAAATGTTTTTTAGGCACCGTATTTGTTTAACAGAATATTTTTTAACCAAAATTTGCTACTTCTCATATTTGTTATAATAAAAAAAAAAAAGCAGTGTAGATTGCTCCTCCACTCCAGTAACATATTATATATTTCTGTCTGTTTCAGCTGCACTTCATCTACTTGGTGCGCAGCACTAAGTGGATTCTGGCTGGTCTTGCCTCAGTCTTCATCGTTGTGTTCCTGTTGATGTCCTGTGGCCTCCTCTTTCCTTATTCAGACAGTCCAGACAGCCCGCGGCCAAAACGAGTCTTCCTACAGGTTCAAAATCACAACACACACCCCCCGAAGCACGAACTCACAGCATACAACGCATTTATTCTAATTCCCGCTAAGAAGAAGACATAGAAATCACTCATACATTCACATCTTTTTCTTCATTGGATGGGAGTCATCCATTTAAAAAGTAAAAATGCTGTACATTTGTCTTTTCCACTTTGGATTTTTAAGATATTTGACTACTAAATTTGACTAGTAAAAAATATAAATAAAAACAGGGAAAATAATGTCCTTTCTAAAATGGAAGAAGCATTGATGACTGAATCCAACATAAAAAGAAGTTTTATTTCATGACAGCTGCTGCAGAATTATAAATTTTTGGTCCTTTTATATGACGTGTTTTGTGACCGGGATACCGCACAATCAGTAAAACAGGTTAAATTACTTAATTTAAAAAAAATGTTTCATCCACCTCTCTGCAGCATACGACACGGACCTTCCACAATCTCCATGGCCAGGTAGAGAGCCAGGACTCAGGTCTGTGGATCAACAGTTTTGACTACACAGGCATACAGCACATCACACCCCACATCCCTGAGATCAATGACAGCATCCGCACCCACTGCCGCGAGGACCGACCATTCTGTGGTTACCCCTGGTTCCTGCCTGTGAAGTTCCTCAGCAAGTCAGTAACACAGCCTTGAAGCTTCACGTTATTGTCCTCATGTATAGAAGTTTCCAGTATTCGAGTATTTTGGTTGTGTTTGCAGGAAGAACTGGTACCTTCCTGCTCCAGACGTGTCTCCCAGCTCTCCAGTGGAGTTCAGCCTGCTGTCCAAAGAGGAAACCAGCTGGGGGACAATCAAGATGACCTTCAGCGCCAAAGGTCAGGAGCACTTCATGTGGCAAAACCAACACAAATCTAGATAGGTTATCTTTCTGTGAGTCACATGCAGAGATAAGAGACTTGCAGCTCAACTTTGACTACAACATCATGTGATTCCAGTTGGACTTGAGCCATGTGACCAGTGCAGGAGAATCATGGCTGTGTGTTCACAGACATAGCAGGCAGAGCTGGCTGGTTATACTGACAATATCCAGTTTTACAATCAGCACTGAGAATATGACTGTAGAGACTTTTGAGTATGAACAAGGGGTTGCCATTTTGAAACAACGTTGAATTATTGATTGAAATGTAATTATTGGAAAGAATTAGTTGACAAAATAACCTCACCACAAAGTGCATTTAGTAGCTGCTCTGAAGCTTTCAATCATATGAGACGAAGAAGGAAGGAGAAGGG